CTGGGCTGAAGGTTTATCTTCCAACAGGAAAATGACCCTAAGCAATCAGCCAAGATTAGAAAGGAGTGGCTTTGGGACCACTCTTTGAACGTCCTTGAGTGACGCTGCCGGTAGCGAGGCTTGAACCTGATTGAACATCTCTGGGGAGTTCTGAAAATGGCTGTGCACCGACAGCCCCCTTCCAACCTGATGATGTTTAAGAAGAATGGAGGAAACCTAAAAGAAAGTTTGCCAAAAGTTTTGCGTCATACTCAAAAAGACTTGTGGTTGTTATCGCTGCTGCACTGAGCAAAGGTTGTGAATACTAATTTAATATTAATTGCTATAAGTATCTAGTGTTTTTAGTTTGATTTATTTTTAATACATCATAGAATACCCATGATCCTTTTTGTCTCGTTAGCAGTGCTGCTCATGAACCGCAGGGAAATAACTCAACTTGTCTAAAACTTTGAAAAAACATTCAAAAAAGGAAGTCTGATGAATTTCCTTTTGGGGGTTTTTGGGAGGAATGTCAGTTTCAAACACTACACCCTTAGTACTAAAGAGCAGGTTTAGCATGATAAACCTGAAATGCAACAATAAACATTGTAACCACTAAAATCAGTGTAAGACTGTGTGCAAATTAGAAATGTGATGGAGGCTTTTTGAAATCATTGAAATGCACTTTCTCGACTTATAGTAAAGGTCAACTGTTCGTGTCCCAACACTTAGTCAGAACATGACTCTTTGTTGTAACGTCATTACTCAGAATGGGCGTGAAAGCCTCACATTGGAAGGGTATCTCACAGTTTTCACAGCATATGTCTCCTGTAAATGCGTCTCACTGCTTACACCTTTTTTTTCGTCTTGTTGTTGCTAAACTTTGATCATCATGATTTCAATGATACCTATTTTTTTTCTGCTGTTCTGTGTAAAACCAGCTGCTTCTATATGTCCTGTTTTTAGATGTTTGTCCTGTTTTAGTGTGGTATCACATCATAATCGAGTTTCCCTTTTTCAGTTTTTGGCTCATACTGAAACCAGTATTCCATAGTCACTATCGTATTAAGTCCCAAAGTGAGAAATAAGTGCACTCGGTTGTTAAGTGGAGCAGTCCTCATCTCTGCAGTACCAGCACTCTCTCATTCTCAGCGTTTTAATTTGTCTCCATTTACAGAGACACTTGTTATCAGTTGTGGTCCTTTTCCAGAGTTTCCAGACTTTGCACTCAGACGCTGCACTGATGATGAACGGTAATGCCAGTTTGTAATTAAAAACTCATTTTCTGGGTTTAATTTAAAATTTCGAAAGTTCCCGTTAGTATGTGTGTATGCCAGACTTTGCTGTCATTCTTCCCGTTTAATCAGGGTAACTATAATGGAAACTGAGCATGTCACTATCCTGGCATGACGCCTGAGGTCCAGAGACTTTTAGTCACTGGCTGATGGTCTGAGTATGCAAGTAGCATTTAGGTACTGTCTGAGCCTCCACCGTAAACTCTGGTTCATAAACAAGTGTCTTACCAAAATTCTCTGCAGTGTTACAGTGCGGTGCATCATATCGCCACCTAGATTTCTCATTGTTTTAGCATCTGCAAGGTTTCCATCAGTAATGTTCTTGATTCTGTAGTCGTTATATCAGTGTGTGCTTTTCCCCCCTTTGACCAAAGTCTAACCTTAAGTTAAATATCACTTAAATATTTAATGTCTCTGAAACCTTCACTGAAGTTGCAAATGTACAAAATGGTTACAATAATGGAATCAACACAGTGTCATCAAAACGGTAATATTGGTCTTTGGTCATTTACAGAGACAGAAATCGGCATCAGTGCAGTGACTCAGAATTTCCAGTTCAGTCTTTCTACAGAAACGATGACTAAGTTTTCATTTTCTGTAAATGAGGCAATGTAAGTCGAAAACATTTCTAAACGACGTGCTCTGTCAGCCCTGTACAGGGCTCGTTATTAAAGTATCCCCAGCTTCTAATGTGGTCCAGTGTTTCCTGCTGCAGACATTCCAGTTTTTCAATGTACTGTGTTTGCAGGCAGAGACCATCCAATCCAGCAGTTTGAGCTTTGAGCAAGTCAAAGCGCTGCCGTGTATTAAACACTGCCTTCTTTGTCACCACAATAACAAAGGCCGTGGTGATGTAATGTCGAGAGAAGAAGGATGAGGGGTGGAGGATGGGATCTGCTGGCCTCTGGCTGTGTTCTCGACACTCCTTGCCTGAACAAGTCACATGAAGAGTGGTGTCCTCCCTTCCACCCCCTCCAACTTTCCCTGTAAAATCACAATCACTTGTGTCATTTGTTCACAAGCTGTAAATTAGTGGGCTTTGTTTAGGGCACAGCACGGGGCTGCTTCAGGGTGAAAAAGGCCTGCTCGAAAATGTAGCGTCCACTTATCGTCCAGAGTAGACAGCAGAGCAGTGTGAAAATGTGGGTGTGTGTTGTAGTCGGATCTGTGATCTGGTTCTACTGACTGAGGATAGAGGACAGCGTTTACTGTCCATTCTAAAATACAACAGCATCTCATTTTGAGGTTTTGTGAGATTGTGTTGTTCCATAGAATACTTAACCCGAAAATTTGTATCTGTATCTAGACTGGTCATTTAAGGGAAGTCAGTGAGATTGCTATACATGCAACATAATGTGAAGTGTTGTCCAAGACCATTTCTTTAGCAGTGCTTTGTCCATACATAGAGATGAGGTTTGATAATACCTTAAGTCTGAATGTTTCTTGGTTATTTAGTTTGTGCTTGCTGACTTTTATTTTGAAATGGCCGTTTCGTGTAGACTAAAGCGTTCTTCTCAGATGTTCTGTGTTTCACTATGTGACCCTTGATGTCTGTGGTTTTCTAGGTACAGGTAGTGGTTCTCTCTCCCACGCCATCCTGCGCACCATTGCTCCAACAGGTCACCTCCACACAGTGGAGTTCCACCAGCAGCGCGCAGAGAAGGTGGCCGAGGAGTTTAAGGAGCATCGCGTGGATCATTTGGTCACCGTCAGGAACCAGGATGTGTGCAAGGATGGCTTTGGAGTGACAGGGGTGGCAGATGCAGTCTTCCTTGACATCCCCAGCCCCTGGGATGCAGTGGGACACGCCAAAGTTGCTATGAAGAAGCACGGTAAGAGTGAGTGTGCATGTGAGGGAGGGGGAGAGCTCTAATGAGCGTGTAGCAAGATGACTATCAAGTCAGGGTGTTTCAGCTAGCTCAGTCTACAAATTGCAAGGTCGAGCAATGATGGTTTGCATCATGGCTGACTGTAGGCTCATGCTCTATTTTTGACCTGTTGTGTTTCTGTAACCCGGCATCAGCAGGAGACAGAGGTCTTCCCAGATAGCACACAGAAAGATTACAGGTGGAAAAGTAAAAGGTTTTGGGATCAATTCCAGCTGGAGATACAGATTCCTCCAAACTGCGAGCTGTGCTGCAGCTCATGTTTACCTGTTCTTCACATAAATGTGTAAGAAATATTTTTCCACTAAGTCTCACTGTGATCTAACTATATGCAGAAATTAGGAAAGAGAATCTGGATCCTGATAGTTAAGTACTTTGCTTTGTGTGTACGTGTACTTAGTGTGTGTTGTCAGACAAATAATCAGCACCACCTGATGATGACTTTGGCGTGACTCGTCCTGGTGTTTCAGGAACATGACTGTGAACGGGCGCATTTTAAAATACCAGTCCATGAGTTTATCTCCCCCCGGCCGTGTCGCCACACTCTGCACTCCCAGAACAACCATCGATCCTGCTCTTCGGCTCTCATTAACCTTGCCCTTGTGGTATTTCATAGTAACAGGAGCACAATCCAAACTCTGCTAGTGAGCTACAAAGCACGTAGGCGTCGTTGACAACCAGGATCTGCAGCATGCCCGGGCATGTTGGCAGTTCACTGGGGTGACCAGTGGTTGGCGATAAATTGTCCTATTTATCTGTTTCAGAATCAGTGGGGTTCATGCATGAATTGGCTCTGAAAATGAGGAAATGACAGTAGGCTATACTGTTACTGTAGAACTCTACCGCCCTCCAGGTGAAGATGCAGTTAAACCCCACAATAGATTACCTTTTATTTCAGAAGAAGAAGAAAGATGCTTGTTTAGTTCAGTCTGTCGTGGTTATTTTGGTTTGCATGGCCTTTTGCTCCCATGCAGAGTCCCAGCTGTTGTGATCAGCATCACGACCTGATGGTTACATTTGTAGAGGTTCACGTCAGGATGCGGCAGGTCAACACAGAATCCGTTACACCTGAGGCTGATGGGTCGGCCCTGGTCCGAACAGGAAAAACTTTCCATCGTGGTCACCGGCCACTCTCAAAATAATCCATTAGCACAGCCCAACACTAGATAAGTAACACAGTGAGAAAGTATATTCTTTGCTTTATTGTTAATGTGCACAAATACTGCCACAGAAATTATATAAACAAAGATCTGCTTTTGTGGACATGAGAGTTCATATTTTGTTTACTGTAAAACACTTTAAGCCAAAAACCATGGCTCTGTCGTCTGTAATGAGAATCTGCTGAGCTCTACATAGTTGCCCACAACAGGGACTGCAGGAGAGAAGCTCGGTGTGCACAAGCCCAGATTGCCCTGAGAAAGTCACCTTGGCCAAAATACTGGAATACACTTGTGTAGGTGAACACTTGCTTAGCTTAGCTGCTACATCCTGGGTTTAAATTTCATCTGTGCATTGAAAACACAAACTGGAGTTGGTGTCAATGTTTATTCTGCCATTACAAGCACTGAAGTTTTCTTTCACAGTCACATTTAATTTAACATCTCAATCCAAGTCAGAGTTAATATGCAGAAGATTAGTATTTTATTAATCTTAAAGCCAGAGTTCATGAATGATTTTACAAAGTAAGCAGAGTATGAGCAGGAATGCAGAGGGGACGAGGATGCTGCCCTGAAACTCTCCCACCACCTCTTTGACTCCCTTTTATGGTGCCACAGCTACATATTCCATCCATGAGCTGTTGGCCCTTGCATGCATATACGTGCATGCGCACGCACACACACACACAAAGATAGAGATAAATAGAGTGCAGCCTTGTTGCAGAAGCAGTCCCATGACCATACAGGGTTATGCTGCAGGCAGAGAACTACTTGATGAGGCTCCACGAGGAAAGGTTTGGTTTACTGCCCACTGTTCAAACTTGGTTTTCCCCAGAACATCAATGCCCCAATATGTTCCAGCTAAACACAAAAAGATGTAATAGTAAACAAACTAACAAAGATAGAAGTAGAATGGGGTGTTGTGTGCTTGGTGATGGGGATGCAGTCCCCAGGAGTGGGGTTTACACACTGTCAGGCTCCCACATGAAGTGAAAGAGACGTGCTTTCTGCTGAGGCCTTATCATAATCAATTAAAACATCAGGTTTCTGGTGGGATTATCATCTTCAGCTTCTGTCATGATTAAAAACTCATACATCTTATTCTGTTGAAAAGAAATTCTCCATCTTCAGAACCTGCCTGAGAACTGCAGAGACTGGAGGAATAAAATAGCTGAGAGCGCGTTTTCTTTAGTGGACAGAGTGTGAGACAAGGGGCAGGGAAATATTTCTTTTTCTCTCTCAAAGTTGTAATTCTCCTAATGTTTTGGCAAGCAGCCCGGCCCTGTGTTCGGCTGTTCCCTGAGAAGGATCCTGAATCCTATCAGAGCCCCCCCTCGCAGACTTATGGGTGGTATTATGCAAGTATAAAGCAAACATGTCCCATGGTCTCAGACACTCAAGAACCTTAAACTTTACAACTAGGAATCAGAGTTTCGTGCATATATTAAAGCCATTTGTGCAGCGGATATTCGGGGCCCCTAATAACCATTTGAAACACCCTTGTATAATCATCAACCCAGCCCCTCCCTGTGTATTCACCGTGGTTTCCAGGAGACCGCTGTTGAATGTGTTTAATGCTGTCTCGAGGGAGACCGCTGGTTCTGTTGGTCGAAGGAACGACCAGTATCTCAATAATCCCGCCGTCTCCTTCAGTGTTTACAGACACAATGGGCTGCAGATTTGATCCTTTTATTGTCAGCCGTGCCCCTTGAGTCAAAATGCAGTATTTTTTCCACTTCTGGGTGTTAAGTGATTTTTAAAAACCAGCAACAGTGGCAAGTAAGCGCTGCAGAGGATGGCTGTAATCTTCTGGGCTACAAGTTATATTTAGGGACACAGCGTAGGGTCACTCCTGTATCTGTTGCATGAAATAACAAGTCAGTAATCAAAGAGGAAAATGTAAACATCTTATTCTTTTGCTCTTTTTTGTTGTGACATCTGCATTCAGTGCAACCATCAGGTCAGACTTTAGGTTTGTAACCAGAGCAGGTACTCTGCTAGTAGTGTATGTGGTGGTGGACCTGCCTGTTCTTTCTGTGCTACAATAAATGCTGTATAATGTGGTGCAAGAGCAGGTCTATGAGTAGAATGTGACTGAACAACAACAGGTTACAGATGACAGAGAGCCACACGGCAGCCTTCTGATTACATAAGCAGCTCAATCAGAGACATCCAAACAGAGAATCCACAGATTTAGACTGAGTGTGTTTCACTTGCTTGTCTCGGTGTCCCCATATTCATATTTTGAAGCATTAATTGGTGTTGGTTTTAGAAAAGTTTATTTTCTCCATATTAAACCCTATTAAGGCACTTAAGATTTTCACTCTAAGATGTTTAAATTTGTTAACCCTAACCCCTGACCAATACAGCTGCATCGCTCAGAGTCACATTCTTTGGGCTTCAGGACAGCCAGTGAGAGTTTTCTTGGCTGGTTGCTCCAGCCTCACGCTGCGATCACAGCAAGGATTCATTTGGAGACGAAAGGCCGTGGCCAGTAGGTGATCTGTGTTCATTAGAGCACCGGCTTATCCCCTGATGAGCCGCAAGCTGCAGTCTGGACTCAGCAGGTCACAGGACTGCTTTGTTAGGAAGGAAATATGCCTGGAAAGTGCTACATGGTGTTTGGAAAGAAACAAATTATTAATAGAAGGTGTAGTATTGTAGGGATCCCAGGGGCGATACTTAAATGTCTTCTCGGTCCATATCAGGTCTACAAATCTGGTTTATGTTATGAATCTTCATTCAGGGATGTTTTTGAGGAGAATTGTTTTCAGACTATAAACGTGGAACACTTTCTATACTTGGATGCTTTGAGAAAGAGTGATGAAAATAACTCTAAAGATGATACTGTGTAATGATTAGCAGATAAACTCAGATTAAACAGAAAGATGTGCAGAGATGTCTCGTACTGACATTAAACAGAAGGGTTGGGAGTCAATACAATCTGGCAGTCTGCCGGTAATTATTGTTCAGTTTGCACAGTAACAGGTCAAAGATCTTACTTCAGACTATTGAAAATATGGATAAAAAAACAGACTTTGTACCAGGACACTGAGGCGACGACAGCTCATTCCTGTTACTGCAACACTTTTTGAGACGTGAACCTGAATCTGGTGACGGTAACAAGAATGCTTTCTGCTGTCCTGATGATAACGTTACAGCTGATTACACGTGCC